AAATATCTGCTGGGTTTCAGTTGGCAGCAGCTGAAGAGGCAAACACTGGTCCAAAACCTGCTATAAATATTTTAGTACACCATAAGCTGTTCCATCAATGTAAAGCTGCCACTGGTGTTCAGGTCTCTGGCATCCCACACACACACACACACACACACACACACACACACACACACACACACACACACACACACACACACACACACACACATTGATCATATGCTCAACATTCCCAATATTCTTGACAAAGGTCCAGAGGGACGGAAAAATATAATCAATAAATTGTGATGCTGAGCATGCGAAGTGTGCGGGATCTTCTGATCTAAAGACTTCCTTTTCTGTTGTCCTTGCACTGGCATCTGAGACAGTTGGATGTGCAAATATCTAATAAAAGGGTTTTTTCAAACATCTAATTAAACCCTCTAAATTCTAATCTTTTTTTAGGTTATTTGTGTATTTATTACAGACTTTTAGTGTAGTCACTACTTGTAAAATGTATACATTGTTTAAAACACTATCAGACTTGTAAACTGTATGGAGGCTAATAGTGACACTTGTAACTTGGTTGAGTGGGTTAAGACTAAATACAAAATATCCTGTGTTGCCTTCCAGCTGTGTTCTGGTTCATGGGCTCATGATACTCACAAACACTGGACGGGTTTAATGATGCCATCCTGTATGATCAGCACTACAGGGACCTGTGTTAGAAAACAAGATCACACAGCACTTCACTGAACCTGTGTATTAGCATCTCTGCTATCACACTGAGCACAAGAACTAGCTGGTTAGCAGCTGGACATCATATGTCATAGACGGAGACAACCAGGTCAAAACCAGACGAAAAAGTGCTGTCCTCAAGCCTGATCACATATGGGATAGTTACTGTGCTGTCCACAGGCACAGAGTAATATCCCAGAACTCCTAATAATGTGCATACTGAAAATATTCAAACCAAAGATGACATCAGTAAATGGATAGTGGTCTGTATGTAGGAAGCGCTTTTCCTGTCTTTGTGATCCCTCAAACGCTTTACATATACAAGTCACCATACACACATTCACACATTCATATAGAGGCAGAGGCTGCCAGGCGCACCTGCTCAGAGACTAACACACATATACACTCAACATGTTGACTGCAGGGGCTGGGGATTGAACCACCGACCTTTGGTTATATATCATGTATGCATGGAAATGAAATGTTATCTTGTGAGAATTCAGCCCAAGATATTTAGTATCTTTATTTTCCATTTCTGTGCCTTTGACAACATGAGTTTGTGAAAATTGATATCGACCATGTTTTCTCTATTGAGAGTACAGAGGACAGGAGCCCTGCTATCCATCACTGAGGGGGGGGCACCCGGGAGGAAAACTGTACAGTAAATCATCAGAAACACACACACACACACACACACACACACGCACACACACACACACACACACACACACACACACACACACACACACACACACACACACACACACACACACAACACACACACAGCTGTCTTTATTTACGATATGATTATACTTTATTGTCAGAAAAAGTCTGAAATGGTTCCTGCACCACAGCAGCTCCATTTGCAACATCAACAAGGACAGATATTAGGACAAGATACAAGGAAACAGACATTTAACGTAACATCACAACCACTGAGAGAAACATGCTCCCTCTAATGTACATTAGATCTGGGATTTAACTCTGTATTTGATTTGAGGATTGACTGGTGCACAAAAGAATGCTTTAGTCTTACATTATTAAATCATGGGACCCTGTGTCAGTGGCGAGCTTTGACTTTTGTACCCAGGCCCTCTCAATCATGAAAATGACTCGGTTAATAATTTCGCAATGATGTCATCACTATCACTGACGTGAGCCATCATGAACAAACTTATGCTAATTTGCTACTTCCGCCTAGCTTGACCCATTGTTATAAAACATGCATAAACTTCACAGCGGGCGGAACTTGTCATAAAGTCCTCGATAATAAAGCCCACCCATTTAGAGGGAAGATATGATTGGTCAATTGTGCTGTCATTTGACATTACTCTCTCATTGAGTTACTATAGCTGGCCCTCTGTGAATTCATAGCTGGACCACCAATCATCTCCTGTCTTCACAGTAATGCAGCGTCCACATGGCGGCGTGCGTTGAAGCTTGCCGGTGGGCGTGTCTGAAGCTCGACCAACAACCAATCCCATGAATCTGGACACACAAGCACGCGGTTTGATTGGCTAGAGCTTGTACTGGCATATGATTTGATTGGCTGACGCTTCCGTCGAAGCTTCAAAAGTTGAACATTGCTCAACTTTTGAAGCGAGCAACACGAGCAAAGCGAAGCGATGGAACCACAATGCAGTTCGGCAAAGTGTGATGTCACCCCATTCAAAGTGAATGGGCAGAAGCGTTGAAGCTTCAACGCACGCCGCCGTGTGGACGGGCCGTAGCTCGCAGATGGCCAAAGGAGCTTCTTTCATTTAATCCTTCACATTCCAACAGAAACTGAATAGGCAGATTCGAAGGATTTATTTCTTTGGAAATGTTATTTTAAATACAATTAAAGGTGGGGTAGGTCATTTTGGAGAAACCAGCTCGAGTGCGCTAGAATTTGAAAATACACAGCCGGAAAAAATCTGCCACTTCCTTACAGAGCCCCTCCTCCAACACACACGAACGTGCACATGACCAATGAGGGCACGAGATAAGTTAAGTCCTTTGAATTATTTTTGCGGTATTAAAATAAATAACGCTTCAAAATCAACAAATCTTCACACAAAACTGAAAAAGGCTCTACATAAATACGCAAACCAACCTACACTCCAAACTACAAGTAGGGCTAGGTTTAGTTGCAACAATTACACTTAGTGCATTCTCCTCTCCTCTCCTACTCATTTACTTCATTTAATTGGACAAAACACATCAAAAATGCTGAAAAAAACTGTGCAAAAATACTGCAACTTTACTGAAATTATTTAACAAGGTCTTGAAATCTGAAAACAAATATTTTGTTATTAACTTCTTTTGTTACTAACTTTCTTTGCACTTGGAAGTTGTTAAATCTTTTTACGTGTCTTCACTTGCTGTCTCTCCTTCCTCCCTTACAGCAGCCACCTTCTGGGGGCCATGTCCCTGTAGATGTTTATTACTTCACTGTGGATAACAGGAATGTCCTTCTCAATAGCGAGGAGGAGGAGGAGATCAGAAAGCCTCTCTTCTGTGCATTGGCTTCTGAGTGTGTCTTCCACCAGCTTGAGCTTGGAGAAGGACCTCTCCACTGTTGCTGTTGACACTGGAATTGTTGCGTAGGTTCTTATCATTTCCACCAGTGTTGGAAAGATATTCTGTTCACTGTTGTCTCTTAGTGTTTTGAATATCCCCTTCATGGTGCATGTGTTTGGGAAAGAGGCATGAACAACCCTGAGCTCTGTTTTCAACTTCTGCTCCTCTCCTCCACAGAACTCACAAAGCATGTGAACGGCATCAAGGGAGTCAGGACCCATTGCATCTTTGCCTATCCAGTTGTTGGCCTTGGTCAAAGTGTGGAGTGCATTCAGTATTTTACTGGACTCTGTCTCGCCATCTCCCCTAAATCTTCTTTTTAGTTCCTGAGAAAGAACATCTACGAATGAGTAGTACACCTTCCCTCTATAGTAGTCTTCTACTGACTGGAAGGAATGGCTCTCTGTGGCTGCATTAGTACTTTGCCAATACTTTGCAGGCACCCTCCTCTGCCTTTGCTGTCCTGAGGGGACTGTGGGGATGCTGATCCCAGCGGCTTCTGCCTTTTCAGTGGCACTCTTAAACAGTTTTCCAAACTGTTCTTCTGTCCTGAGGTTGGACAAGGTGTCCATCACTCCATCAACAACAGCATATGCTGTGGACAGATCAATGTTGCAGTTCTGTAGAGCATCAGAGGCAAGTGCAGTGACCTCAAAGACTGGAGTGGCGATCTCAAGGCAAAGGAAAAACTCAAAGTCTATGGCTTTAAGGTACATCTTGGCATCTCCAGCAGCAGTATCTGGAGGCTCCTGCTCTGTCATGTCAGTGAGGACCTTGACCACAGTACTCCTCACTTTAAGGAGGGCCTGCAGGGCTTTTTCTCTGCATGCCCACCGTGTGTCAGAGAGATTCTGCAGTTGAATTACACGCTCTCCAGGGTGCAGGGCCTCTTGGCATTTCACAAATGCAGTGTGTCTTTTTGTAGAGCTGGTAAAAAACACATAGAGCTTATCTACCAGGTTACAAAAGGTAATGAAGTGGAGGCTTGATTTTGCACTTTCAACTAAGACCAAATGTAAGCAGTGAGCTTGGCAATGCACATACAGAGCTTTGTTATTGTGTTTCAGTATTCTTCACTGCAGTCCTCTGTATTGACCACTCATATTGGCCGCGCCATCATAGCCTTGACCGCGCATGTTTTGGTAGGTGTGGATGGGCCGTGAGTCTATCCAACGTCGGCCGTCAGTTTCCTCGTGGGTCTGTCCGGGTAATATATACTATATATATATTGTTGTGTTCGGTCGCTCTGTGCTTAACAATGGTGAGAGTGAAATACAGTTTGTCCCGTTTGATGAATGGGACACGGTGTTGTTAAACTCCAGCCCCGGCGCGCGTGACAAAGGAGCATTCATATGAGCGTGCATGAAACGATAAATACTGAGACAACTATCTTGCGACTATCTCTTAGTGAAAAATAACCATCGTATATTCAGCCAAGCCACAGTAATAATGATTTATGATTAATTTGTCTTTTTTGAGGTATAGCTGCAGCAATAGCCTATAGACTTATGTTTACATTAAGCTTACTGTATATTATCGCGAGGACTGGATAGATTACCACGGAGCAGAGCCAAAGCTCATTGTTATATATTTTAGGATTTTTCTACATATACATGTTTAATTGTGTTATTTTGTTGGTAATGTTCAGTGTAAGAAATGTGAATATAAGTGTAACATCCTCAGAGACGGCACCTAAGTCCTATACATTTTAAATCCTGCAGACAATTTGTAGTGGAGTGGAGGTGGTGACCCTCAGCCCACGTGTCAGTGTCTTCAAGGAGAGATGGCCTGGTTTATTCAATGAGGCTCAGGTGAGAACGTTACGTTTATTTGTTTCCATTTCAACTCACTGTTGTGAGTAATGAGTGTTGTCCCCTATGCTCTTTATTAGATCAAGGAGGAGTTCCGACACATAACAACTCTTTCACTGGAAGACTTTGATGCTGAAACTGGATGGGTACACTAACACCACTCGCTCCAGCTGATGCGTGCCAAAGGAGGAGATGCTGGCTCCAGGATGCGCCCTCTTCTGAGCGCAATTGATGAGGTACATTTATTTAAATGTTTCATTCAAGAATATGAAAATGCAGAAATAAGTCTTCTCACTAAAATGCATTTCCTCACAGCCCCAGAGTGTTGGAAAAAAGGGATGCAGTGGCCAGGTGCCTGATTGAAGACCTTGGGGATCGCCAAGAAGACCTTTTTCAAGACAGCCAGATATGTCGTTAAAGACTGATCACTTCAAGATTTTAACGGAGTTATTTCGGAGGTTGCTCTGATACCGTTGTTTAATTTCTGTGATTAACCACTCTTACACCTAACAAATAAATATGCAATTTATTGCTGTAAATCTGTAAACATCTTATTGTTTTTATAAATGGTTTAGCATTCACAGGAAAATGATTTAGGGATAATGTACTGATGTGCTTGCTACTTAACATATGAAACCTTCTTTTGGTGTTAAAGTGAAATAAGATAAATAAAATCATTCACTGAAAAGTTATGTTTATGGGAAAGAATCAATTTAATGTCATTGATTAGATCGATGGGCAATTTGACTGGGCCTGACATTTTTTATATAAGTTAGAAATCTTTTTTTGTTTTTAATCGCTGCCACACATTTTTTCAAATCATTTAAAAAAAGTCAATCCCTGGTTTTATTGATTAGGCTTAATGCTAGACCACAAAGCCTATATTGTATAATAGCTTCTTGTTAATATGCCTAATTTAAAGTGAATATGCTTTTCTTTCTTTCTTTTCAACATGGAGGACGAGCATGACAACGTCGTGGACCAAACTGTGAAGGTGCTTGTGATCCATGATGCCAGGGACAGGGGACCAGCAGATGTGTCTATTGTCATAGAGGGAGACAGAGTTTTGTGCGGAGACCAAACAAAGGCATGCACATTGTTGATGGGATTCATCTACGCCAGGGGTGGGGAACCTTTTTCCTCTCAAGGGCCATTTCAATTTTTTCAACATCCTCCGAGGGCCGTACAAATTATTGACCTCTGCTTAAAAATCACAGCACATTCATTTGGCCTTTCTTTCATGCTGTGCAAAGAAAAAGCAACCTCTTAATCCAGATATCTCACCATGACTCACGCATGCATGCACGTGCACGGTTGTGGCATGACCACCAAACACAATGTCCATGGACATGATTTAAGAGGGGGGGACCTAACCTCCTCTAGGGGGGTCCGGGGGCTTGCTCCCCCGGGAAGATTTATTTTTAAATATTGAAGTTAAAAGCATCAATCTGGTGCACTTTGAGAGCAAAATGAAGAGATCTATGGAAACATCTCTCAACACCCATATGAAACAGAACTGTAAGCAGATTTACTTTTTCTTTATGGATATTTTACAAATCACTCTCCTTTCAAACTGTATTCTTGTTTATTAATAACAACTTTTTTTTACTGTCATATAGTATTTTATACCTGTTTACTTTATTATCTTGTTTTATGATAACTATAATGATCATATAAAGATGTGCCTTTACCTCACTGGTTGTAGAAAAAGCTTCTTATATTCGTTAGCATAGCTAGCTAACCAGATGCTAATAACAAAGTTATTGACTGTATGATCAGAATGACAGATGAACAGATCGCCACTGGGCTTACAACTAAGACACAGCCACGCAAAAACTGCAGTATGTGTAGCCTACCTACGGACTTATGGGTACTGCAATTTTTTGAAGTCCCGGAGCGACATTCTGATGCTCTCCGTCAGCACTGCACCCCTGTCAGACGAGACATATACTACGTGATGACACGTTAGGCTCGTGTTGTGTTCAAGGACCATGACCGTTGCCAGGAAAAACAGGCACTCACTTGTTTAATTATTTTGCGGTCTAGATTTCTTTAATTTTTTTGCGTGTGTTTATAAATTACCTCGAGTGCCAAACCAAATGGTCTCGCGGGCCGTATACGGCCCGGGGGCCGGAGGTTCCCCACCCCTGATCTACGCCCTCAACCTGGAATACCCCAACAAGCTCAAATACACATTTGAGGTATTCTAAAAACTGTTTTTGGAGCTTGATGGAGCCAAGCTGCTCAAACAGGTCCAGAGCCTCAAATAAACAATTTGTTCTGAAATGGAAGTGGACTTGTTTTAGTGCAGAGTGACACAAACACAAAATAATGTGATGTGGAGAAACCTTTTTCTGTTAAAAGTGGACTGTTTACTGGCACGTAAAGGTTTTCATATAGTTGAGTAAATTGCACTTGGAAGATGATGTTAATGTTTACAATTCCCATGCACTTTACTGTTAAAACAATGTGATTGTATGACTATTTTGAAGATTCTGCTCAGTGTTAACAATTGAAATGCACTTAACTGTTTAAATAATCTCAATGTATGACCATATTGCACTTATACATTTTTCATAATTTGGTCAATAAAATCTTGTGTGTGGCAATATATTGTTTACTGGTAACCTTACTAATAAAGTAATATTAATGTGTAATGTGGATCAATTAAGTAAATAGCTGCCTACGATTAGGAGTAAATATTACTCATTTATAAGTAATACGTTTTATTAAGTAATTCAGTTAGATTTTACTTAATTTCTTAAAGTAAGTCTTATATATTAAATATTAGTAACCTTTACCCAAAAACATTGGGTAAAATCTACTCAAAATAAGTGTGTGCAAATTGTTACCCCCATTTTATTGAGTAGATCTTATAGGTTGATTTTTACAGTGTACATACTGTCCTTTTCGGGTGAATACTCCAACCATGGCTTATTTTCATACCACATCTTTTGAAATGATCGGCCTTCAGCGTTTTTGGGAAATCTAAGGAGAGGTTGGCATGGTCCTCTTACAACACACATTTTCACATAGCTGACATTACATTTGAGATCAAAAGCTTGGTTGTGGGCGGGATCTGTTGGATACTTTCAGGATGCAATTTTTGATATGACCTCTTCTACACTACTGACAGTTTCCTCAACATCACCCTCTTCTATGGCTTCCTCAAACTCAACATTATCCACCGTTTCCCCTCCTGTGGCCTCTTCCTCTTCCACACTGACAGGGATTTCCTGATCATCTTTCGGCTCTGTGTCAGGTGTTGCCTCTAAAGCCTCCCCTTGTCTCTCCAATGTTGCTTGTGAGATCTCTACTGCTTTCTCAGGTGTAACACTTTCAACATTTGAGTTATCTGTTCTCTCTTGTGTGTTGCTGCTGGTACTTGGTTTTAACCATGCATTTAGAGATGTGATACTCTTGGCTGTTTTCTGGCGCTCCTTCTCCTTTTTCTGAATTCTTTCTTTTTTTGGCATTGTGCTGCAGAAGTGATTACAATAATTTGTTCAATTAACTTTTGTTTCACAAGTAAGTTAACCTTCAGCTTCTATAGCCAAGCAATATAATACTGAATTGCCTGAATACATCAATGATCCAATACATTTGTATTATTATTATTACACTTAACGCACACATAACGAAACATAACTGTTCAAGGACTTAATTTCAGTGTACCTATAAATTCCCTCCTTTCACATGAGGGTGGGTCGCTGTATCATGTAATGATTAAGATCTATCAGCAACAAACTAGTACAAATAATAGTTTATTAAATGAGCAGCATTTTTTTTTTCTCTTTCTGTGTGCTGTTAGTGTTTTGTTATTATTCTGTTTGTGTCTTTGTAACATGTATACATGTATATAAGCATGTATGATTTGAATGCATATGTAAATGTGTGTGTTATGGCATGTATGGCCAATATTGGTCTTTCATTACCATTATTACCTGTTTCAAAATTCATTGCATCCTATTTCATTGATGCTTGTCTGTAAGGGAGGGAGGGAGGGAGGGGGCTGGGGGTGGGAGTTGGGGGTAAACTGTCTCTTTGTTGATACCTTGTTCCACAGTATTCAACTGTGTATCAATCTCACTCCATGCAGGAGGTGTATTGTATGTCTGTTGTGCTCAAAATCTCGTAAATAAATCATACAAAAAAAAAAAAAAAAAATGAGCAGCCATCAATCGAAATGATGAAGCTACTGTTTAAGGCAGGACATTGCAGGCAAAAGGATCGTTTTTTCATGTAGGCCTACTTGTAATATTGCATGAAAATTAGCGCATTTTATTAGGCCTAGTTAACGCCTAATTTGCATATCAATGTGGTGATTGTGATGATACACATTTTACTGCATTCACCTGTAGTGTCTCCCCTTAAGTACAGTACATTAGCCTGTATGCCCATGATAAAACGCCTTAGCTAAACCTTGAGCTAACAACTTATCCATTAGCTAGTAGCCTTCCTTAGTTAACAATATTTGTTTGTCTTTTGGCTAAGTAGCTGTAAACTCGAGGCACCAGCAGCTTAGTTATTTGTTCATCACCACTCACCTTCACAATAGGCAAAGAAAAGCCGGCATAATGTGGGACAGTAAAGTGGGAGATGCTGCGTCTGTCTGTCTGAAGGGACTGCTGATGTCCGCACTAGTGATGGGAATTCCGGCTCTTCTTGGTGAGCCGGATCATTTGGCTCGGCTCACCAAGAAGAGCCGGCTCTTTCGGCTCCCAAACGGCTCTTCAGTTTACCACATATTATACCTTTTAATTCAATCAAATGTAGCCCTGTTTTGACTAATTATACACATATATCACTTAAATTATTCAATACAACCTTTGTACTGAAGTATTCAAAAGTAAAAATTACATGTTTAATATAAATGATTTGCTGTGGCAAATTGTTTTCATTGCATTTACAGACCCGTGTAACTCTCTGATATCACCCAATGAATGCACTGACTGGCTTGTAGAACCACGCTACACAAAAAAGATAGCAACACCTATAACAACTATTTAAAAACTAATAAAAAGGGGCTACTGTATTGACCTATATAAAGTATATAAATATAGTTTTTTTTTCAAAATACCAAAAAGATCCTGCATTTTAGCCATGCCTCATTTCGCTCTATTTGCTCTTTCCAGCGCTGTTTTTGCAGGGGGCTGATTCTGTGAGCTGCAGCTGACCACGTCCCCCTGCAGGAGAGGGGAGCGTGCTCTGAGATCAGCTGCTGGGCTGTCAGAAGAGGGGGAGAAAAAGAGATCTCCGTCCTCCGTGTTTTATTCTTATAGAAGTAAGAAGAGAAGTAATGGGGCAGAAACCCTCCTTTTTACGCAGCGGTCCAGACATAGACATCAAACGGCGACACATATTCAGTTGCCAGTTACTTTGGCATTAGGGCAGGGATATCTAGATACTTTCCAAGGTTTGACATAATGAATTGTGCTACTTTTAAAGCAAGCAACGATGTTTTCAAATCTGTAATCAAAAAGCTCCTCAAAAACGCTATCGAAGCAGTTCCTGCCGTTGCTACGTTAGTTCAAACAGTAACAACGGACTACTTTTCTTAGCGGATGCATGTCAATTTAAATCAATACATAAAACTATTTTTTAAATCATTTTCTAAATCCATAAAAGCATTTCAATTAATATTGGGAGTTACATTACATTACATTGCATTTAGCTGACGCTTTTATCCAAAGCGACTTACAATAAGTGCGTTCGACCAACAAAATACAAACTTGAAGAAAACAGAATCATATAAGTACATCAGGTTTCATAGAGCAAAAACATTTCAAGTGCTACTCAACTGGCTTTAGATAAGCCAGCCCTTTATTAGTATATAAGTGCTTTGTTAATAGTTATATCGCTCGAAGTGGAGTCGAAAGAGATGAGTTTTCAGTCTGCGCCGGAAGGTGTGTAAGCTATCTGCTGTCCTGATGTCAATGGGGAGCTCATTCCACCATTTTGGAGCCAGGATAGCAAACCCACGTGTTTTTGCTGATGGGAACTTGGGTCCCCTTCGCAGCGAGGGTGCAGCGAGCCGTTTGGTTGATGCAGAGCAGAGTGCACGTGCTGAGGTGTACGGTTTAACCATGTCCTGGATGTAGGAATGGCCAGATCCATTCGCAGCATGGTAAGCAAGTACCATTGTCTTGAAGTGGATTCTAGCAGTTACCGGAAGCCAGTGAAGGGAGCGGAGGAGCAGCGTGGTGTGGGAGAATTTAGGAAGGTTGAAGACCAGGCGAGCAGCTGCATTCTGGATGAGCTGCAGAGGTCGGATGG